ACTTAACGCTAACATGATCTGAGTATACTGAACTTGGGGAGACAGACCTGTGGGAAGAGACTTAATGCGAAATTTCCATAGCTCATAGTTGCTGCTGATGTCCAAAGGTGGCGGCCCTGGCACAGGGAGGATGTGTTCTGTGGATGAAGGATGTATGTTGGCGTTTTGGTTGGAGAGTATTGCAGGAGGTTCGAATGAGTCCGATTTCGTGTTGAGACTGAGTTTGGAACACCTGCTATTTGTGTTCATAAGCACAGGAACAGTCATCTGATGAATGAGCGTACGCGAGAGTAAATGATACGATTTGGACACAACTGAACAGTTAAAAATAAACCCGAGAAATTAGGTGCAATGTATATGATGGAAATTTTCGGTAGCCCAAGGTCTAAGCAGGCTGAAGGAGAGCAATTCAACCTTAGTAGTCTAAAAAACACCACACAATTATCGTACGTTTTGCATTGTCAGTATTACTTCCTTAAGTCTTGAGTGGGACACTGGTCTTCAGTAGCACATCTCCGTCTCGTCCCGTATATAACAGTCATTTTTGTTGGCTCAGTGATTGCGGATAAGCCCTCACCTAGTACGATTTCACTTTTATCCTCTGACCAGTGCTCTACTAAGGGTTTCCCATTCAGTTTCCACTCGAGGGCGTGGCGCGCGTTGTCACTAAAGGGTCTCCTTAGTATTCACTTAGCTCAAATCTCGAGGGCACAGGTTCTTGGTTTGTTCGTTGCTAGGGCTCCTTGTGGCTAATCCCGCCTTTTCATAGGAGCTACAGTATTGAACCAGCTAAGTCAGCTATTGATAAGGGTCTGAAGCCTATTGAAAATGCTCCTCTTGACGTACGCCTCATGACTCTGAACCACATAGAAACACTGATTTGATATTAACCTTCAGAGTTCAAATCTTGTTCATTATGTTCAAATGAACTGTTGTCAAGATTTGACAGAATAGTTCTAAAATATTTGGGCGCCGAGTGAGAAGTAGACATTTGTAAAGAAGTTCGGACCAGATTGCCAAACGAAACGTTGGAATTACTCATTTCAATCTCGCTGAGACTTTACAAATATAATTTTTTTACAAATGTTCATTATGCTTGAGGCATTAGATTTTTAGGTTGATTTCAGGTCAACGAATGTCTGTCTTGCCTTTAGGACTCCTCATCCGTTCCGTCTGTAGTGAAACGGTGCTGCCTATCTGAGTAAAGGAAGTGACTCTTTTCAAACCTCTACCGCTGATAGTGATTGGTACTGGTTGTTGGTTAGTTGGCTATCTTCACCATCTCTGTCTTCACTCAATCCACTTGAAATCTCGTATTCGGTGTCTGTTTCTTCCGCCAACTTGCTGGTTTTTGCTTGTAAGTCTTCGAATTTACTTGACTTTACACATAAATCGTCAACAATGTTCAGATCTTGCAGGATCTTCTTGTAGGTCCAGCCTATTCCAGTCTTCTCGCTCCCCACAACCTGACACATAATCCGGTTGACCACAATTAGGAACATCGTCGGTGATAGTAAGTAGCCTTGTCTTACTCCTGTCTTCACTTCAAAGCCTTTGCTTGGTTATCCATGGTGGACTACTTGATATGTGGCATTGTCATATAGCTGTTGAATAAGGTTGATATAGATTTAAGGCACTGCACTGCATAGTTTGAAGTAGTTCCCAAGGGAGTTTCGTGACTATAGGCTGAAGAAGGTTTTCTGAAAGTCAATGAAGTTGGGGTGGAAATCTGTTGCAAGCTAATTATACATGTACGCGAGTTCATATAGTAATCAATCAATATATCCGCATTGTTAAAACGATAAGAAATTCAGGAGAGTTCAAGCATCGTTGTATTCGTAAATTCTGGTATCCCAGGATTTAAGAAGGCCGCCGTCAATATTTCCGTCGAAATATGTCAAAACGCTTACAGATATAGTGTCAGTTAAAATGCTTTATAGCTATCAACAAGATTATTTTAAAATAAACGGATGCAGCAAAAACGCAGTATTGCATTAAATGATAAAAAGGATGACAAGGCTGGAAAAATTAATAACCTGAAATTAGTGGTATGAGACGGTAAAACAAAATAGGTGCTCATATGGAAACAAAGCTGAAAGTTAAATCGACAAGTAGAGCTGCAGGGCTCATGTCCGAGATGTCTTGCGTGCTTTATTTGACTAAATTAGCGTGGCGTCGGTGACACAGTGGTTAGGACTCTCGCCGACCATGCACATGGTCCAGGGTTCGACCCGCTGCCGACGCACACCCAATATCTATGGTCGGCCTGCAAAATTTGGGCTACCGATATCCATGCTGAAAATTCCATACTTGTACTGAAAATACGGTGTAGCATCAAGCTGTAATCAAAATGTAAATATGAAAAATATAAAATATAGATACACATATTTCCTAGTACTTCTTCACGTTTATCAATGTGCATAGACGTTGGTTACTCGACGCCCACAACGTAAAACCGGAAGGCACTTGTGAAGAGTATGATCGTGTATTATAGCAGTAGTCAAATTTCAAAAATTGTGTCGAGGTAATGTTCAACAGTAAATTGACAAATGTTTGCGAAGTACTTATAAAATCGGTCTGTGTAAACATACAATATAAGTATGCAAATTAGATTAAAAAGCGTATGTTTATAGTTGGTATAGGGGTATTACAGCTGTTCTCCATTGCCTTATTCTAAACAAGTTACGAAAATTCTTCCACAACTATTTGAGGGTGTCCTCCTTGATTTCTTTTTCAGGCTGTAAATACTTATTGTGCGATTTTGTGACTTAAATTGCGCTCCTTTTATCTCTCGAATGTATATCTCTACTCTGGTTTGTAGCCTATTTTCTAAAAAAAACATCCAGCAATATGAGAAGGATATCTGTTAATTGTAACTCTTGAATATTCATCATCCTCAATCTTTTCGCGCGCTTCTGTCGATACAAAGGTAGAATACATGCAAAGCCTCCATGAAGCGAAATACAGAGTACGCTATTCTCCTGAACTTCTTCCTTTCCTGCCACTCTTCCTAGATTTTTGAAAATAACTACGCTTTTTGTGTCTTTTCTACCACCTCGCTCCCTAGAAAACACAAGCAAATTACAGTAGATGGTTTCTACATTTCAAATATTCCACACGTTTGTAAATTGCTGTCATTTTATAACTTATTATTGATGCCCAGCGTTAGATTCTTACCAGTGTAAACTTCAGGTGACACAGCTGGTGCCTTTTATAATCATGAGGAACAGATGTTTGTGAACTCTGGAGCCTTTATGTCTCTCTCTAGTACGATTTATCTTAAACCTTCCATTACCACCTAATGACTCAAAATTTTGAAAGTCCTTCATAAAATTGGCAAGTAATAGTTATACTATAACTTAAACTCTTGATATAACCCATTTTCTTAGAACTTATTCACTTAAAAGCTTATCATTTCAGATATGTATCCATTTATTCGATCTTTTTTTGATATTTTCATTATTTGAACTACAGTCAGTCCTAATTTTGTACTAAGAATTTGAAACATGATTCCTGACAATTATTGGAAATGCACAATTGTTCACACCTGTAAAAAGGTGGTTTGTTTCTCTTCAGAAAATAAATTATTCTTGAGTTCACTCCGTGTAGTCTCACTATTACTCTATTCTAGAATTTCTCTCACTTATACGCAATGTTGTACTAAAAGAACAGTTTATACTTGATTACATAGTTTTCCTTAACTGTTAGGAAAGTTTTAAAGCTAACAAAGGTGACAGGGGTCCTCGATAATTCTGTTTGGAAGGACATCACATAAGACCACGTAATGTTTACCTCATGATCACTGATCGAATGGTTAACACGACTTGGAAGTCTTGCATTTTAGTCCTCACATGAGGTATTATAATTAAATGAAACTGGGTGTTTCTATTCCATTTGGTCAGACTGGAAAGGGAGGTACGATGAAAATTAGTTGACTTTATTTACTAATTCACACTTAGCGTTTTCTAAGGTGGTCTTTGACTTTGTCACTTGAATGCTAAACGCCACCTACTACCTCCAGTAAGTGGGAGAGAATGAACACTAATCCCGATAAGCATCTGGCTTTGAACCACGTAAAATCTAAAGTGACAGATGACTTACTAAGATACTTTACTACCACATTTGTGTTATAGAGGAATCAGGCAGATAAAGTCCTTTTTATTTATTCATTTTTTAACACTCATTTTTATTTAACAGTTTTTTCTATTTTCAGTACAATGTTAATTAAAATCTGGCTTGTGTGCTGTCGTTGTGAAAGCATATATCGCTGGCATTTGAGCTAAGTCTTTGCCCACTTTTTGGGTAAACTTATATGTTTACTCATGCAGGAATGAAGACCATCACTAAAACTGTGACACACAGAACAATCAAAAAGCGCTTAGGAAGTACTTACGCCAAGTACATCCATTACATAAATGAGACCGCCCTGCCTCACCATTCGCTCCAAATCACCAACAAGTGCTAGTCAGAATCATGGAAATGCTAGGTGCCGCTAAAAATTCCAGTATTTCAACATTCTTAATAAAATAAGTTGTTTCACAGCACTTATGTGATATTGCAATGAAAATTTTGAAGAATTCAGAATCAAGACTGATATCTTACGTACAACAGTTCCTATTTGAATGTTATTCAACACTCAATATCCTAAACACAAGATGGCCAGTGTATGGAATGAAAAAATAAAATGGACTTCAGGACAATCAGAGGTGAAGTAGATATTCCGTCCCAAATCGAAAATTAATCTTACGTTCGTTATAAAGAGTTATAATATCTCATCAGGCTTTGCTCTTTGAAATTGTAAACGTCCTCATTTATCACACACCGTCTAGTTACTACCATTCTCATATCTACGTTTATTCTTCACGTTTCTATTATCTTATTTTATGCGCGATTTCGAAGATCTTGATGTTGACTGTTGAGAAGAATTACAACAATTACCAACTGGATTTTTGGAAAACAAGTGTATATATTTTAGAGACTCAAAAAGTGATACATATTCATGCTATTTACAAATTATGTACAAAAATAAACAAAGTTGGCCAGGACATGTTAATGCCACGGTAGTTTAGAATAGCAATGAGCAACTTGCTCTACTGTGGCAACACAATCCATGAACATATCAGCTGTCAGCCCGTACTTTTCATACTGATGAATGTAAGCTCTGGAACCGTATAACTCCCAAGCCCGAAGCGAGACACATTTCAAACTAGCTACTGTGTCACCTGACAACGCACTAGACATCAATGACTCTTTGTATGCGTCGTCAATTGTTGAGCAATTCCCTAAGCGTGGTCCTCCACCATTTGAAGCCACGAAGAGACTGCGTGGATAGTCTCTAAAATGACGAGGATGTCCACGAACAACTGGGCCAAATGGATTAGGAACTAGAGCTGGCGATGGACCACAAATTAGAAGATTTTTAGTTAAAGAATTTGCAAAGTTATCTGCATCTCGAATTTGATCATTTGCACCTTCACCACGTAACACAGACGCATAGGAAAGCAATGGAAGACGTGAATTTTCAATCCTGTTTGTATACCCAGGTCCTGAAGCAGTGACAGACCAGTCGAGTTCTAAATAAAATGAAATAAAAATGTAATAATAATTTTTTATACGAAATTCAATCTTCAGAATATATATGTACATATATCACCTGGTTATTAATACGATGAAAATATGAATACAAAACAATTAGTGAATTTCATACATTTGGTTCCCTTGATTCATTTCGATAGAGAAAGAAAGACCAGATTTGCAGGTAGGAGGGGGTTTAGATGATCGGAGTTGTTTCAAAAATTGTCATGGGAAACAACCTGTTTGCAGACACTGTTCGTAGAACTTGATCTTTGTTGACTCTCGCTATATTCTGCATCACAAAGTCACTACCTGATTCAGTGACAATTACGATCGCCTAAACTCCCTCATACCTGCAAATCTGGTCTTTCTTTCTCTATCAAAATTAATTAAGGGAATCAAATGTATGAAATTTTTAAAAAGACGCCTCCCTGGCAAAACTATCAAGTCATCGAATTAGGTAGTGACTTTGCGATGCAGAATATAGCGAGAGTCGACAAAGATCAAGTTCTACGAACAGTGTCTGCAAACAGGTTTTTTCCCATGACACTTCTTGAAACAACTCCGATCATCTAAACCCCCTCCTACCTGCAAATCTGGTCTTTCTTTCTCTATCGAAATTAGTGAATTCTGATACCTGCTGTTACACTTGCCATTGTATATTATGAATGCATAAAACACATACATTTAGAATACACGATAATCTACTGCCCAAATTCTACATGAATTTGAATCAATTGGATTAAAAGGAAACAAAATATGGTTTTATCAGTTACCTAAAATAATACCTGTTCCTAACATACTTTATCTTTGTATCACAGTGTTTCGAAAATTACAACATATTGACGTTAATCTACTGTTTAAGAGATACTCTCTCTCCAAGTTCATAGAAGTCAGAAAAAACCAATAAGTAATCTGAATTATTACTTCTGACTCAGTAAATAAGAAAATGGATTTTTACAAACTGGTAACACTGTGAATTGGTAGAAGTTAGAATTCATGGGCCATTGAACTTGTCTTGTAACCGGAAGTCCCTGGGTTCAAAACCTGGCCGTGGGTGAGTACTCCCAATGGTTTCCAAACTAGGATGAAACAGCTGTCCAGTACTCCAGTGTTGGTTCTCAATGGTTCTCTAACTGATATCAATCCATGGTCAAACTCGAAAAACAAACCTGATCCTTAAAAATCTACTCTTGAAAACCACAGAATACACTACAAAATCCAATGAATATGAATATTGGATAGTAACTATGTTTATCATCTGTTTACCATGCATAAACTAACAAAGTATGTCATAATGACAAAAAAAAAACAACTTGAAAATGTCTTGAATATCACTATCAGAAACACTATTCCCATGAAATGTGAAATATTACAGTATGGCAAAACATACACCCCATTTCCTTTAACACAATCAACAAAATAAAACCACTTTACAATATGTTAAAGCTATGCAGAAATTAACGAATACCTATGTAAATTAACTAATCATTTTATTGTACTGTGAGTAGGTTTAAAATTAACAATCACTGGTCAACAGTCTCAAATATGGTACAGACAATCCACCATGGTCCTAATATGCTTACTTTCCATTTCATCGGAAGAAAACTTATACACCCGATGGCATTCCGGAGACTTTCACCTGTTGGTATCATTCATCCTCAAAGTAAATTCTCTGTACTGTAAAGTTTCAGTAGCAGTGGGAGTGTTATTTTACGAGGTAGAGTTATTAACCCCCCACATACCTGACCTTCCATCTTTCCTGCACTTAGAACCTGTTGGTAAATTAGGCGAGTCAAAAGTCTCGCAGAAGATTGGTTTATTGATGAATGTATTTATTGAGTTCAGTCTCAACAGTCACACCTTAACCAATACACAATCGCTACAATCTACTTATTTTTGTAGTGCTACTGTGGTGAGTGCTACTTATAATCAGATAGAAGTAGTATATCAGTAAACAAGGTCAGAAAAGCAACAATATGTTTCCGACACTGGAAAAAGCAATCGAAGAACAGAACTGTAAAGAGAACGTTAGAAACACTGTGCAGAACTCCACAAGCTATCGAATGTGATGATATTAGATCAATTTCCAAAAGATGTGCAAATAGAGCATAAAGCAAATTTATGTGCCTACGACCAGTTTTCCCTAAAAAGCATTCTTTCCAGACTCATCGGCCTTTTCTTCTTCCAACTACCGATTGATACATGTTTTAGAATAATCGAATTAATTTTTTATGCATTAGTGAAAATTGGAAACAATTGCGTTTTAGATAATTATTTTCTTTTTATGAGAAACAGTGATTCATCAATTAATTCTGAAAATGACTTCAGGAAGCATTTCGTTATTAAAACGAGGCCATCTGATAGAATCATTGGAAACTGGGGAGCAGTAGACAATTTTTTTCCTTGTTCATTGGGTTGAGAGATTCGGACTAAGTGACTGCATAATAACATGATGAATATAAAGTCTGACAGTACTGAGCTTCATCTCTTTAGAGAATATGGATACAGATTATCGAAGAGCCAAACTAAAATAAAAATGAGGCAAACATGTGGTGTCTTTTGGTTATTTATAATAAATGATAAATTGCCATGAACTGTTATTAGTATTTGCTCCTCACGTTCCAAGCCGGGACACATCCCCACTGGACTCGGTTCTTTATCATCAATTATGGCTGGTTGCATGACTATACACAAGCATTCAATTCCTTTTTATACGATCTCAATATCGCCCTCGGAAGTCTGACTCATTGCCTAGTTTACTAAATGGTCTTAGGCCCGGAAAAGAGAAGGTCGGGAATGGAGCTAGTAACCCTGACTCATAAAAGAAAACACCCTCATCGACATGGTAACTTTTGAGAATAAACTACTAATATATACACAGGTGAATCATTAATATTCATTATTTATTTCACACACTAGCATAATCATTGATTTCCCGCATCTGCGTGATTATTGATTTTAATTACTGAATTCCCGTGGTTTCTTAATATTTTTAAAATGTGACATTGATTTTCCTAACTGTATAAATACGGAGTTGTTGTTTAACATTTCGACTGTCGTTAGAGACAGTAAAAGCTCTCGTATCAACGTCCAGTCTTTTTTCTTTCTTTGCCTTGCGTGCCCGGCGGTATTGTTGTTGTTGTTGTTGACGTGCGATTAGGACAGATTAGCCAGTGCATTAGTTAGATTCGCTCGTAGTCTACAAGGTCCTAATATTCACATACATAACAACTACTGTAAGCATCCAATCAGAATTTTGTTCGAAAATCTGTCGAATTAAACAAAGAACACGATTATTGTATACTTCATGAGGTAAGGTTGAATGACGATTATTTTCTGTGAATAATATTTCTTAATTAGTTCATATTATTGAGATGAATGAATTACCTTACATATAGGATTGTTTTCTATAGTTTGGTTTGTAAGGGTTAGTTTTGTTTTTACGAGTTGATCACGGATTGATATCAGTTAGAGAACCATTGAAAACCAGCACTGGAGTACTGGACAGCTGCTGTTTCATCCTAGTTTGGGAATCATCGGCAGTATGCACCCACCGGACGGGGTTCGAACCCAGGACCTTCCGGTTATAAGGCAAGTTCGTATATCATTTGATGCTCGCTAGTGATTTGCTACAGGATGGAGTTTCCTGGAGTTCTAGTGAGAAGTCGTGACCAGTGAAGTCCATCCAGATGTCACGTGTGAGGATGGATGTCCCGCCGACGACATTGGTTGGGGTCGCGTTAAATCACGAATTAGTAGAAGTTAGAATTCATGCACTGGTCATGGAATCGGGTCCCAGTGGCTGAATGGTATACGAGATAGCTTGCCTTGTAACCGGAAGGTCCTGAGTTCGAACCTCGTCCAGTGGGTGCGAACTGCCAATGATTCCCAAACTAGGATGAAACAGATGTCCAGTACTCCAGTGCTGGTTTTCAATGGTTCACTAACAGATATCAATCCATGATCAACTCGTAAAAATATAGGATTGTATATTATGGATTTTTGTTACCAACTGAAGAGTAAAATGTAGAAAGGAAACATTTATCATTAAAGCAAATTAATGTAAAACGCTTTAAATCAATCTATGCTTGTATATAGATTGTAGGAGGAAAAACTTACTATCTTCAACAGCTGAACCTGTCAATAACATTTGTCTTGCATGACGAGC